GATCTAGAATGTATAAAGTGATTATAAAACAAACAAGAATAGGTAAAGCTCTTGTTTCGTTTAGTGATGATATTCTTGTAGCTAGTGGATGCACTTGTAACATGGTATTGAAAAATATAAATGTCATGCGGTGTGCATGATACCAAAGATTAAAAATGTCAACACACCACACAAAATCCATTATAATATAATATACCACGTGACTGAATCGACTCGAATCTCAACATATATAGACACTAATTATAAAGCTTCCACCACACTTTGAGCAGCAATTTTTATAGGTTCCAAAAGCGGCGTGCCCGTATCTTTTTTTTTTTTTTTTATAGGAGTATATGATTTTTTGTGATGAAAAATAAACCCTTTCAATTTTTTTTTAATTAATGTTACGTTCTAGTTTCAAATATCAAAACCCAAATCGAGTTTTAACGTATTCGTGATTTATCGTAAAGACATAATAAACCTTCAAATGATGTAGGTGTGAAGTAAATTAACAAGTCAGCGACCTAGTGTAATTTACACTGTTTAAGTAGGACCCACAAAGTACCCGAAACCAAGGGGATGTGGGACCCAAATAAAAATGGTGGTCCCATATTCGTCACTCTTTAGGCGACAGCTACGTTTATGTTTGGTACATTTGTCTGTAGCCGCTACTCACATGCCAAACAAATTTTAATGCCATTTCCCAACTCAATCCCAATTATAAGAGCAAGAAATTTGAAATTATATTGTGACCCCAAAAAAAAAAAACTTGAAATTATCATATCTGATAAGATAAGTATGTTATTTCTTTTGATATGTATGTAGCTATAATATGGATTTTTATGAATAAAAGATTAACTTAGACCAATCTCATAGAATTAAGAAAACTGATCATTTTGTTCTTTTCATACGGTTTTTGTAATCGAACGAGAATTGAGACACTTTTGTAATCGAAAGACTTTTTCAAAAGATTTGGTTCGTAGATTTATTTATAGATACGTTTACGTTAGGCAGGAGAATGACATGCGACTACATCTCTGCGGCATGCGTGAAGATTGGACCAACCCACACTTATTTCTTCTTCTCGAAATGTTGAGTAGTATCACACACTTTCTTAACTAATTCAAGTATTACTTAAATTTTTGGAGTTTTTTTGGGTATTTTATTTTTTTTCAGAGAAATTTTTTTACATCATCTTGTTGTGTCATAAACAAAATCATTGGTTACATTGAAGTTGTATTTTTTATTTTTTTTTTATCAAAGTTTATGGTAACAAAATAAAGAGTTTTGAGACATTAATTTACCTCTCTTTTAAGATGGATTCACATAAGAATATTTGTCTCTCTTTTTTTTTTTAATATCTACATGAAAAAACATCCAATACCTTTTATGGGAAAGTTGTTATTCTAATTTTAGTACTTCTTTTTCAAAAATTTCCTCCGGCGCATTTAAATAAAACAATTGACAACAAAGCAAATTGATCAGTACAATTTCATCCTAAAAATAAGTAAAATATTTTTATACCCAAAAAAAGAACACAAACCAGTTTCTAAGAATCTAAGGAAAGAGGAAAAACAAAATCTAAAAATGATCTCCGGTTTCATTGGACAACAAACTTGTCTTGTTCCTATTTCATAGGAAAAATAGATTTTTTTTAGACAAAAGATTGTGTTGGGGAAACAATCCGAACTTCAATCTCTTCCTCACATTTAGACTGCTAATAAACAAGCCTCTCCCCAATTCCTTTATTCTAGCCTAATCCCTAACAATGGCTCTATTAACTTTTCATCTTTTTTAATTCCTAATAAAACCTTTTTTTAATAAAAATAAAAACAAAAAAATAACTCACAAAATAAAAGAGTTTACCTAAGAATTAGGTTCAGGATGGCCTCAAGGAGCCTCTCGTATACACAACTCCTAGGCCTCCTGTCCTTTACCCTTCTCTTGGTCACAACCACCACAATGGCGGTTCGTGTTGGAGTCATTCTTCATAAGCCTTCTGCTCCAACTCTTCCTGTATTCAGGGAAGCCCCGGCTTTCAGAAACGGTGATCAATGCGGGACACGTGAGGCTGATCAGATTCATATTGCCATGACTCTCGACACAAACTACCTCCGTGGAACAATGGCTGCTGTTTTGTCTCTCCTTCAACATTCCACTTGCCCTGAAAACCTCTCTTTTCATTTCCTCTCCCTTCCTCATTTCGAAAACGACCTCTTCTCCAGCATCAAATCGACTTTTCCTTACCTAAACTTCAAGATTTATCAGTTCGATCCAATCCTCGTCCGCAGCAAAATCTCGAAATCTATCAGGCAAGCACTCGATCAGCCCCTGAACTACGCGAGAATCTACCTAGCGGATATCATCCCTAGCAGCGTCGACAGGATCATCTACTTAGATTCGGACCTCGTCGTGGTAGATGACATAGAGAAGCTGTGGCATGTCGAGATGGAAGGTAAAGTCGTGGCTGCTCCCGAGTACTGCCACGCAAACTTCACACATTATTTCACGAAAGCATTTTGGTCAGACCCGGTGTTGGTCAAAGTGCTCGAAGGAAAACGCCCGTGTTATTTCAACACAGGGGTGATGGTTGTGGATGTTAACAAGTGGAGGAAAGGAATGTATACACAAAAGGTAGAAGAATGGATGACGATACAGAAGCAGAAGAGGATTTACCATTTGGGATCATTACCTCCGTTTTTGCTGATATTCGCCGGTGATATAAAAGCGGTTAATCATAGGTGGAACCAGCACGGTCTCGGAGGAGATAATTTCGAAGGAAGATGCAGAACTTTGCATCCTGGTCCGATTAGTCTTCTTCATTGGAGCGGAAAAGGGAAGCCATGGTTGAGATTAGATTCAAGAAAGCCTTGTATCGTCGATCATCTCTGGGCTCCGTATGATCTATACCGTTCATCGAGACATTCATT